TCACCCGAGTGATAATCCGGGTGCACTAATTGTTGCAGAGGTCTTCAATGGAGACAACTACGTTTCCTGGTCACGAGCAATTCTCATGGCTCTTAGTGTTAAAAACAAGGCTGGTTTCGTCGACGGTGCTGTTTCTGTCCCATCTCCCACTCAATCTCCTATTGACTCTATTGCATGGGTTAGAGCAAACAATCTGGTCTTATCATGGCTACTTAACTCTGTGTCTAAAGAAATACGGCAGTCTCTATTATTTTTTACCGTTGCCAAGGATGTTTGGGATGAGATCAAATCTCGCTATGCTTTAAGTAGTGGTCCTAGGGTTTTCCAACTTGAAAAATCCCTCAGTTCTATGGACCAAGGCTCTTTATCTGTGACTCAGTATTATAACTCGTTCAAATCTTTATGGGATGAGTATGTCACTTATCGTCCTGTTATTCGTTGTACTTGTGGTGCCTGCAATTCATGTACCTGCAACATATTTGATGCCATGTCTGCTGCTCAACAATTTGATTGTGTCATGAAATTCCTCATTGGACTTAATGATTCTTTTTCATCTCTGAGAAGCCATTTTCTCTTGACATCTCCTTTACCCTCACTTTCCAAAGTCTACTCACTTTTACTTCAAGAGGAGAGCCAAAGAAACCTACATATCCCAACTAAGACTGCTGATCACCTTGCTATGATCCTTAAAACATCTCAGTCCTACCATAAATTTCAACCAACTCAGTCAAAACTTCAACCCTTTCACAAAGACAAGAAAAAGTCTAAATGCCAACATTGTGGTTTCACCAATCATTCTTCAGAAAGGTGTTATCAAGTAATTGGCTACCCTCCTAACTGGGTAGGTCCTAAGGGTCCTAGAGTGAATCTTTCTCACTCTGCAGTGAACTCTGTTTCTTCTACATTACCAAATCAAATTACCACCTCAACTGAGAACCTCAATCCAAACATTACTGATAATCTTTTTCATGAGTTCCTAGAATTCAAGAGATCACAGACTCTTAACCAAACCACAGCTCCTCCACACATGTCTTCTTCTCCTGTGGTTGCCACTGCCATTAACCCTGCTACCTCTGCAGGTAACTTACATATTTCCTGCTCAGCACATTCAAATTTTACTAAGCATACATGGATCCTTGATACTGGTGCTACTGATCATATGATTTGTGATTTATCTTTTTTTTCTGTTCCTCCTACATCTGTATCAATTCAAATAAATTTACCCAATGGACAAAGTACTTTTGCATGCCATGTGGGACAGGTTAACCTGGGGCCTAATCTTGTGCTGCAAAATGTATTATATGTTCCATCTTTTACCTTCAATTTAATTTCTGTTTCTCAACTAACTTCTACAAATAATTGTATTGTCAACTTCCTGTCTTCTTATTGCATATTACAGGATCTCAAAACCAACAAAATGATTGGTTTTGCTGAAGCAAAGAATGGACTATATCATCTGTCTTTGCATTCTACCAAAAATGTTGATAATGTTTTTCCTGTTTCTGATAATCCTGACATTTGTGATGCAAATACATGTGATAACCTTGTATCCAGTGATAGACTTGTATCTTCTGATAACCATGTATCTTTTCATGTATCTTCTCATAACTCTGAACTCTGGCATATCAGACTTGGACATCTTTCATATCATAAGCTTGCTCAATTGTCTTTATCTGTTAATTGCAAGTCTCAACTACATGATCCTTGTGATGTATGCCATTTCAGTAGACAAAAGAAATTGCCATTTCCTATTAGCACATCTACTGCTTCTGAAGTTTTTGATTTAATTCACTGTGACCTCTGGGGACCATTTTCTGTTTCTTCTATTTCTGGTCACAAATATTTTCTAACCATTGTTGATGATTACAGTAGAACTACTTGGATATATCCATTAATTTTGAAATCAGACACTCATCATTACATACAACATTTTTACAACTTAGTTTTAAATCAATTTAACAAGAAAATCAGAACCATTAGAACAGATAATGGTACTGAATTTCTTCTGCATGATTTTTATCATTCTCATGGCATTTTGCATCAAACTTCATGTGTTGAGACACCTCAGCAGAATGGTAGGGTAGAAAGGAAACATCAACATTTGTTGCAAGTAGCTAGGGCTATCATGTTTCATGCTCATTTACCTTTGCATTTCTGGATAGATTGCATTACTGCTGCTGCTCACATTATAAACAGAATTCCCTCCAAAATTCTCAATGGCAAATCTCCATTTGAACTTCTGTTTCAAAAGAAACCATCTTATGATCATCTTAGAGTCATAGGTTCATTATGCTATGCATCCACTTTGCATCAAAATAGAATCAAATTTGCACCTAGAGCATCAAAATGCATTCTGCTTGGTTATCCACTCGGTTGTAAAGGATACAGGCTTTACAATTTGGATACCAAGAAAATTATAATCTCCAGAAATGTCATATTCTATGAGCATATCCTCCCTTTTCAAAACTTACCCTCTGCTGATCCTAACCCACAAACACCAATGTTTCCCATTCCCACTGAATTTCCCCATGACCATATCAAACAACATACAATCACAAACAATTCACATCCTACAGTCCAAACCACACATCAATCACAGCTTTCCATTCCACCCACAGATCAATCATCCAATCAAATGTCCCCAGCAGATCAACCTACCTCTGATATTTCTACATCCAGGAAATCAACCAGAAAAAGGACTGTCCCTTCATACCTAAATGTCTACAAGCATTCTCTTCCATCATCCACAAACCTTATTTTTACTGAGGAACATGCAACAATTTCTGGAACATCATCTCATAACAGCATCAAATATCCCATAGAAAGTCATTTATCCACTGCACAACTATCATCTAATCATGCATGTTTCACTGCATCAATTTCCACTCTGACTGAACCTAAAACCTACAAACAAGCTGTTAAAGACCCACTTTGGCAAGAAGCCATGACTAAAGAACTTCAAGCTCTTGAGAAAACTAATACATGGGTTTTAACAGATTTACCTCCTGGTAAACATACCATAGGTTGCAAATGGGTTTTTAAAATAAAATATAAGTCAGATGGATCTATAGAAAGATACAAAGCAAGACTAGTAGCCAAGGGTTATACACAGGAAGAAGGCATAGATTATTTTGATACCTTCTCTCCTGTTGCTAAAATAACCACTGTTAGACTACTTCTTGCTGTTGCATCCATAAAGCATTGGCATATTCACCAGTTAGATGTCAACAATGCCTTTTTACATGGTGACCTCAATGAGGAAGTCTACATGACACCACCACTGGGTTACTTGTCTGATTCTTTAAATAATTCTAAAGTCTGCAAACTGACAAAGAGTCTATATGGCCTTAAACAAGCCTCTAGACAATGGTTTCAAAAATTAACCACATGTTTGTTGAATTATGGCTTCAGCCAGTCTATATCAGATTGTTCTTTATTTACTTTACAGTCTGACAATCACTTTCTGGCTTTATTGGTGTATGTGGATGATATCATTTTAACTGGAGATGACTTTGGCCAAATCACAGCTATTAAAAATCATTTGGATAATTTATTTACAATCAAAGATCTTGGCCAACTTAAGTACATCTTAGGCATTGAAGTTGCACATTCTGAAAAAGGCATTAATCTATGCCAAAGAAAATATGCCTTAGATATCCTCTCTGACTCTGGTTTGTTAGCTGGTAAGCCTACAAATATACCTATGGACACTACTCTAAAATTGACAGCTAATGCTGAAAATGGAAACAAATCCATAGATCAAACATCCTATAGAAGGCTGATTGGCAGGTTACTTTATCTAACAATAACTAGACCAGATATATCTTATAGTGTACAGGCTTTGAGTCAACACATGAGCAATCCAACAGAACTTCACCTGGCTGCAGCACATAAAGTTCTTAGGTACATCAAACAATCTGTGGGACAAGGTATACTCTTTCCCAGAGATTCTCCTCTTTCTTTAAACTGTTTTTGTGATAGTGATTGGGCTGGCTGTGTTGATTCTAGAAAAAGCATTACTGGTTTCATGTTCTTTTTGGGAAAATCTCTAATATCTTGGAAATCTAAGAAACAAACCACTGTGAGCCGATCTTCAGCAGAAAGTGAATATAGAGCCTTAGCATCAGCTTCTTGTGAAGCTCAATGGCTTCTATATTTACTTTCTGACCTTAAAATCTCACACAACTTTCCAGTGTCTATTTTTTCAGACAGCAGGTCTGCCATTGCCATTGCTCATAACCCAATCTTCCATGAAAGGACCAAGCACATAGAGATAGATTGCCATCTCATAAGGGAGAAGATTTCCAAGGGCATAATCCAGCTCACTCATGTATCATCAAAGGAACAAATAGCAGACATTCTCACAAAGGCACTTGGTCCTCAACCTTTTCAGTATTTGTTATCCAAGATGAACATGTCAAATATCCATGTTTCTCTTGCGGGGGGGTAACAATTATATATGTATTGGGTTTTATCATTATGTGTTGGGCTTTATTATCTTGTGTATAGCATAAATGTACATTGGGCCTAGTATGTAATATAAATGTTATACCTAGCCCATTAGGTTTATCTCTCTCTCATATATAAGGGAGAGTTAGGGTTCAGTATACCACTTTTGGTCATTCTCTTGTTCATTGTTCATCTATCATATTCTCGAGTTCTTCCTCTCTCTTTTACACAGAACATTATTGTTCATATTATGAATCATATTAGGAGATTGATTATGATTGAAACTCTAATTATTTTATGATGATGACTTCACGACTTTTTCTTTTTTACTTTTTGAGATCTTGAATCAATGAGGTTATGTTGAAGGACTCGATGCCTTTGCTGAGAGAATATATGAGGTTATGTTTTGTAAAAGTAGCTTATAGGAGTCGAGATAAATTTTCTATTCAAGTTTAGTTTAATTTATCAATTATTTAGGTTTTTCTTCTACTTATGGTATTATGTTATCATTATTGGCTCATGGTACTTTGTGTGATTTCTATTCGTTGTGAAGTTACTATATCTTCGTTTTTGTGAACGATTTTAGTATTTTGTTTGTTTGTTTTAGTAAACATACATTCATTTGTTAATAAAGCGGTATTACCACAATATATTATCTTTTGGAAGTGGTTTTAGTTGAACATAAACGAAGCTTGAAGATTTGATGAAAGTTGGTCTTAAGTTTTGCAAAAGCACACTTTCCTAATATATCTCCCTTTTTAATGTAACTAGTAAAGTGCACGTGCGATGCACGTGGTGACGAATGTTTTTTGCCGATTAATTTTAGTAAGATAAATTAATTAATTTATTAAACATATGATTGCAGTAAGAAAAAATAAAATGTAGATTAAATAAACTCTTAATTATTTTTTTTTTCAAAAATAATATAATGATGTCGCAATATAAAAAAATTTAAATAATATATTACAACCCCAACAAAAATATATGAAAATGAGTCTATAATAAAAAAAAAACACTAAATAAGGACCTAATGTATATTATAGATGCATGAGTTCTTTTATTTATTTATTTAGATTCAAGAGTGATTTTCTTTCATTCTAATTTGATGTTCTCATAAGAAACATTTATACTCGTTGTATTCCAATACATCAATAGTATTGTTAATTTTTTCTTAATTAATTTCGTAAAACGTGTGCTTTATTCAACACTTAGAGATACTTTAGCCAAACATATAGTCAAACTTCATGATTGTATGATCATTATAAAGTATATTTACTAACAGTTCATAAATATCTCTGTGATAAAACCAACTGTATCATTAGAGTTCTTGATACTTGTGTCATTAAAATTCTTGATATTTTTTATAATCATTGTATAAAATACTATATTCTCTCTCTCTCTCTCTCTCTCTCCATAAAACAAATTGGTACTTACTCCATGGGGTAAGAACGAATTTAATATCTAAATAGAAATTGATTTTCCAAAATCATGTACTTCTTCGAAGTCGCTAAATTATTTTTTCAAATTATCACACATCACATTAAAATACGTATTCTAAAGTAATTTCACATATGATCGAGCCCAATACACAATTAAGATTGTAAATATTCTATCAAAAGTGAACTTATTCAATTATTCAAAAATAATTTAATCATAATCAAACATTCCTTTTTCAATGTTATTTATTTGGACGATAGATAAACTACATAACCTATTATTTGCAATTTGCATATCATTGAACATTTTGGTTGTTGCAATGATTTTAGAGTTGTTTATCATAAAACATTTCACATTCGTTTGAATTACTTGCAATATTTATGTGTCTAATAATTTATTTAATGCATTTATTGTCCACTTTTTGTATCATAACTAATGCTTCGAAAAATTCATGATAATGATCATTTCTTGATTCTTCAATAATAACAAAACAAAACAAAACAATGAGACAATATTGAAACGCATATTATCTGTCAAAATATTTTAGATGAGAAGAATTTGAATTCTATTATATTATGATACTCTTAGTCATTTGTTAACTTTACTATTATGAAGTCATTATTAAAGTTCCTGGTTTATATTATTATAATGTCGAATCACTATTTATGAGAACCAATTTCTTATAGATAACATATATTTAAATGCTAGCAACAAAAAAGTAGTAAATTTTCAAAGATTTTTGTTTCTTAATATTGGTATTCATACTTTTCTAAAAAAGTTCTGACCGTTTCTTTTCCCCATTGCATTACTATTTGTTTTATTTGTTTTTTATTTTATTCACAAATAATATTTTATTTGTTGAAAAAATTAGAGCACATTTATACACATTGAGTTTTTTTTTTTTTTTATATAGTAATCATATATTTGATAAAAATGTACTTTTATATTGTTTATAAGATTAAAAAGTTTTTGGATTTTTTTTTTCCATTGATGATAAACTCCTAAGTAACTAATTTATTTTCATATCCACAAAAAAATATATTTTTAAAACCATTATGGTGTTCTCTTTCAAGCAATAATTGCATAATAGTTTAACATACAACTCATTTATTTTTTCTTTTAATTCATATAATTAATATTGGTAATAGATGTACGTTTACATCCAATTACATTTTTTTCTTATTATTGAATATTTCAAATCTATGTAAGAAAAATATATCACAAGTTTATCCAATATTATTTTATAATTAATAAAATTGAGTTAACATGGATCTATAAATTGGTATATATTATTTTAAATTGCTCTATGTATATATATATATATTTTATTTACAATACATTGGTCAAATCAAACATCATGAGAAACAAATGATGTGATATATTAAATATAAAAGTGAAACATAAAAAATATTAAGTATTTCAAAATTTAAAATTTTAATGGTAAAAATTAATTAAATTGTTAATTAAAAAGATGATGACTAACATACATATTTCTAACACAAAAAGATAAATATAGTTTTTACAAATGTGCATCTCAACTATGTTTTAGATTTATCATTCGCTAGCTTCAATTAATATGGGACATTTACTAATTTTATTCTTTATTATTTCTTTTGGATGGAATGTGAGCTATAATCTTTCTCATTGTGTAGTTTTACCTTTTCATCATGTAGAACAATATTCTTACCTCTTGTTTAGTATTATTCTTACCTTTTTATTACATAGAACATCATTCTTACTTCTTGTTTAGTTGTTATAATACTAATAAAATAATTAACTGCACACAATATTATATATAGTGATTTTTTTTTTTTATTTGGAGTCATACTTTTACTGCAAGAAAATGATGAAATTCTAATGAAAGCATGTTACAACAGAATTTCAACAACAACTCTAATGAATATTTCAATGTTACAATTCTCGTTTGAATTTTTCAATGAATATTTTAACAAAAATACTTTGTTAGAATTATGGGCAGATCCATGTTTGTCTAATAGTCCTGACACAGGCCTCATCCCAAAACATATAGTATAAGATATCTAACAAAAATTATGGGAACATTTTTCATAATTTTAATCATGCCCTTTATTTAAAAAATAAAATTAAACGAAAGAAAGATAAATAATAAATTAATTTAAAACTCAATCAATTATAATTTAGTTCAACTCATAACTATATCAAAGATATAATATAAATGCAATATTACAACTAAACGACATATAATAGCTATCAAAATTTACAATTGTACGCTCTATTCTCTATTTTCTTTTTAATCTTGATGATAGCTTATATTCTCTCTTTTGCGACATAATTTTATTTAACTTTAAAAAATATTTTTATGTCTTTTTTAACTATACGTAGAATTTTAGTTATATATTCGTAATTTATACATTCATCAATTATATTGTCGAGTCAACTATACTATAACATAAAATATTCGTTCATAATTTTTTTTTAAAAATATATTATTATTTTCATATGTCGAATTGAGAAAAAAATATTCTTTTCTTTTTAATATTATTGAACAGATTGTTATTGTATTAATGTGTAAAAAAAAGTATTACATATGAGAAAGATGACAAATAATAAAAACTATAATTTATAAATTGTAATGGCATTATGTTATTTTGATGGTACACTTATTAATCCACAAAAATCCTATTGTAATTTAATTTGATCTCTATTGGAACAACATTATTTTTTCGTTATTACATTTTCTCATATTTATTAGTAAGTATTAAAACTTAGTTATATTTTTAATATTATGTATCAGATTTAATATTTTATTACTTTATATTGTTCTTTCATATGTTATATATATATATATATAACTTTTAGATTTGTTAAAAAATACATAAAATTAAGTATATAACTTTTTTTGGGTCTTATTATATCCATTATAGTTGTACATCTATATAATATATTATATATATAATTATAATTTTATCATTAATATTATACTCAAATATTAAAAAAAATATGAACATTTTTTTTAATAAAAAGTTGTTTAGCTTATTCGGTCGTTGGTTGTATATTCGGCTGAATAGTTGTTATCTAGTCTTGTTTTGTTATTAATATAAGTCTTTTTTATCGTTCTGTTTCAAAAAAAGATACGTGAGCAATGGTACTATATGAATATAATTTCTTGATAAAAATTTATTTATTTTCAGCGTATATAGACATATTATAGTTCTCTAGATATTTTGAATTAATTTTGAAGATAATGACCAATAAAAGTATATACAACTATTGTCTATCACCTAAAACTTACACCTAGAATTAATAAGAACAAAAAATTAACAAGCGTTTAACAACTCAGCTCGTTTACGTCAATAAGTACAAGTTTTACAAGTTTGATCTTTATTTTTATTAACCATAACATTTTATTTATTACTTTTTTTTTTCATATTTTTTAGTAAGTATTACAACTTAAGTGTATTTTAATATTATTTATCAAATTTAATATGTTTTTCCTTTATATTGTTATTTTATATGTTTTAATATATATATATATATATATATTCCTTTATGATGTTTTTTTTCCTTAATATATTTGTTAGAAGAATATATAAAATTAAATATAGAACCTTTTGGGACAGTTGTCTTATTATAATCAATTAATTGTACATTTTTTATTTTATTATATATAATTAAATTTTTCTCATTAATATTATACTCAAATATAAAAAAATTAATTATGTACTTTTTTTTAATAAAAAATTACTTTATTAAAATAATACAAATAAATAGATAGATAAGTAATGGTAATATATCGATATAATTTATTGCTAAAATTAATTAATTTTCAACGTATATGTGCATATCATGATTTTCTAATTGTTTTTTAATTAATATATAGATAATCATGTAATCTAAATTAAATCATGTTGCTCAAGCAGTATACATTTGAAATAAAAATAAAATAGTATGGGTTTTAGTATTATGCATTTCGTAAAAGTAGATTAGAAGTTTACGCTGCAAAACAATCATTCAACAATTAATTTTTCATACTACTACATTACTTTTACAGGTTATTTTGAAAAAAAAATGTTTTTATAATTTATGGGTGTTGTGAGGAAAACATTATCGATTTTAATTTTTTTAGTTATAGTTATTAATAATAGATGAGTAATGATGATATATGATATAATTTATTGGTAAAAATTAATTAATTTTCAGCGTATAAGCATATCATGATTCTCTAGACATCTTAACTAATTCGTAGATAATTATATGATCAAACTTAAATCATGCTGCTCAAGCAATATCCCATTCGACTAAAAAATGGATTGGATTTTAGTATCGTATAATTACATAAAATTACAATAATCTTATTTTAAGTAAAAGAATTGAGTATTTTAGAGTTTAGGTTGCAAAATAATTATTCAACAATTTATTTCTTATACTATTACACAATTTACTCTTTTTTTTTTCTAATTTATTATGGAAAAAATATATTAACTTTTTATTTGACATATTTTTAATGTCAAATTAGTAATATACTAATACTTATTTAATATTTAATTAATTAAATACAATTAAACAAACCAAATATTCTAGACTAAAGTGCAATTTCTATTCTAGTTCTAAATATAAGAGTTTACTTTCTTAAATAATGAAGTAGCTAAATGAAATTGTTCAACTTAGCTAGTTTGTAAGATAATGTATAAAATTATATTAAAAATAAGATTTTTTTTAAAACAACAATTCTATATCTTTTCAAAACTTTTTTGTTTAGGTTGATGTTGGGTTGATTTTTGGGAGATATGTGGAAGAAAGCCATTTTGTGATAAAGAATGGTGCGTGAATATTTTGTTTGATTTTTAGGAGATGTGAAATGTATTGTTCTTGTATTTGTATTTAATAAATTAAGCATTAGTTATTAGTTAAAAATATAAGATATGATGGGTATTAGTGTATTACTTATTTGTCATTAAAAAACAAGTTAAGGTAAGGGTTTTTTAGGTAATTCATCTTTTTATTTAAAAATATAAATAAAATATATATTAGTGTATTACTAATTTGTCATTAAAAATATGTCAAAGTAAGGTTATTTTAGGTAGTTCATATTTTTACAAAAACACTCGTCCTTTTAGAGTAGTATAGATAGATAATAAATAAATAAGAGTTTCATCCGAGTTGGAAATTTAAATTTTTCTCACATTAGTATTTTACATCGGCGATGGTTTTGGATATACAACGATACAAGGAAAAGAAAAAGAAACTATATATACAATGGCTAATTTAACTCACATTTATTTACTGGAATCAAGTGAAAGTCCAGTGGTTAAGGCTATGGCACAAACTGGATGTTGTCACCAGTCCTTCCTATATCAACATTTGTGCTTGAGAACCATGAACAAAAATAAAGGCTTCTAATTGTTATTTACAGATATGCATTGCTCAACATTCTCGAATGCTCGAACAACTTATTTTAATTTTCAATGCTCAAGCAGCTGGAGGCCTGAGTTGATGATCTTGAGAAGTGTCCTGTGTCAATGGAGGTAAATAATGCCACATAGGAACAAACCCATAGCTGGGAATCATCTGCATCTTTTTAGCCTCAACCTGAAATACGGCTGAATTTCCCGGCATAAATCCTGTAGGAGGCACAAACATGCTTTTCAAATGCTGCTCAATCCTTTCTTTATCTGCCTTGAGCGTCAATTTTTCTTCACGAAGCTCAATTTTCTCAGCCTATTTCAGAAAATAAATAAGCCAACTATAATATTTTCTAGAAATTAAAAAGTAAACAAATTAAGCTTCAGAGTTGCTGGATGCTGCATAAATATTGGCCAAACCTTTAGATTTTTTATCTCCTCCGAAAGCTTTGTGTTCATTTCGACATACTTGTGGGATTCAGCTTTCAGCTGCTTTAGAGACCTAATTGCATCAACCAATATCGCCAACTTTTCTGTTTTCACGGGGTTTTCAGGTTCCAAGACAGCAGATAATTCCAAGAACCTTATCAAGAACAAGAAAGACAGCTCAATCAACCAGAAAGTCACGCAAACTGTTGCTGCATCCGAGTTTACAATGAAAGTTCTACCCATTTCAAATAATCCGACTTTAAGCTGTCTTTGGACATCAAAAAAAAAAAAAAAACTATAAATAAAATCCTACCTGTCATTCAACTTTTCTCGTCTCATTCTCTCCCGGCTAGCTTTGGCTCCCATTCTAACATATGGATTACTACGTCCCCTACAGAACACAGAGTGACAGTGAAAAGGAAAATTACTTAATAAGTAACTTCAGAATAACAGTAGTTCATGAAGGATCGATTGATCTATGCTCTAAGGAAGAAACCAACTATAGACTGATTTTTTTTATCTTCACATTCTTCTTTCCTTCTAGTTTAGCTTCTTAACTAGAAGCATAACTGATTATTCAATTGGTTCCACCATCTAAGCTTGGCCTTATTAGAGAACAAAATACAGAAAAAATAAAACGTCTAAATTTTAAGATTATTTTTGGCTCTCTGACCTCTTGCTCGGTCCTTCTCTTTCTGCAGAATCATTTCCTTGCAATGTAATTACACTGCAATAAGTAACATCATCAGACACATCAAAAGCCATTCTTTTCTAATATTTGTTTAGTCAAAGTGCCAAAAACCATTCTTTAAAATTTAATATGTCGATTTACATATGCTTGTCCCTGATGCGTAGCACAAATCGAAGAATTGACACCAAATAAAATGCACAGCTTAAACCTTCAGCTGAGGATACTTTTGCAAATATAAATAAATTTAAGCGTACGGAATACAAAAGAACAAAAAATAAATTGAAAAAAAAAAAGAAAAGATTAAAACAGTNGACAAAAATAGTGGATTTTGATTTCGATTGGAACGATGATGCAAAGGACTGATTAGTGATTAGAGATGAACGGTTTGGGGGAGAAGAGGAAAACTTGAAAAGGACAAAATCCACTAAGGACAACATCATCAATTATTGGGCTTAGTCAACTTGTCACCAATATTTACTTTAAAACTAGTAATCATTCCCTGTATTTGTACGGAAAGCAAAATATTAGAAGAGTAATCAATAAAATAAATTATAATTATAATTTAATCCATGAAAAATTAAGAAAATAATTCTATATATTATTAAAAACTTATTTATAACAACATTAATGGTTTTTCTATCACTAGAATTTCCATCGCCACAAAGCATTATTTTCAAACTCTTCCGATTCGATACTTTGGAAAGAGCCACGTACAACTTCACATGATTGAAAATGGGGTTCTTCAGTACTAATACCACGTGCGATAGTGACTGACCTTGACACTTATTGATTGTCATAGCATAACATACCATGACAGGCAACTGTCTCAGCTGAAACTTGAACGGTACCTCAAATCCGAAGGTATAATTATGAGCTAGGAATAAGAACCTTATCGCCATCCCTAGAAGCAATTAAAATTCTGCATTCGAGCACATGTTGTTGAGCTTAGTAATAACCAAACGTTAACAATTGCACAACTCAATGAAATGATCAGTGTTCCCTAACAGCATCACTATAGAGCCGACATTCAAGTGCAATTTATGATACGACAACTTCGAGCACTTCGATTCAAAAATTCAGAGTATGAAAATCGTGTAAAGAGTCATGTCCATCATATGGCTTGCAACGGTGTCTGAACTCAAATAAAACATTACTTGTTAGCGAACTCAACGACATCAACTGTGGGGGCGAGCAGGGCCGTCCCTGGCCCAAGGCCCATGCCAGGGCCCAATTCTAAAAGGAGCCTCAATTATTTTTTATGTCTATGTTGAGGCCCTATAATTACAATTAACTCAAACAAGGGCCTCTCAATGTTAGCCCGTAAATCCATGAAGGCCGAGGCTTGCAAACTCCATACCCAACCACTGGCACTCGACAATAAATCTGCCACAAGGCCAACCATGAAATTCAAAGAAAATAGTGTTTTTCACTCATTTGTTCAGATGTAATATTTTAATCAATCATGCATTTTATAAATTACGATAAACTAAATGAGCTGTAACCTAATTTGAGGCCCTATAAATACAATTAACTCAAACATGAAAGGAGCCTCTATTACTTAATGGGTAATATGTCTAATTTGTAAGCCAATCCATACAATTAGTTAATTTCATATTTAATATACTTAATGCTTATTGTATTATAAAGCCACAAATATTAGAGAACTCCAGTAACAATAATTAAAGTATTTTACGCAATTTTACTGACATTTTAAATCAAAACCAACCAAGTCCAGTACAATTCACTCTTTTTTGGTTAGTCCTATTCCCTTTTTCTTCATTGGCTTACGTATTATAATCACTATTTGTTCTAATCAATTAATATCACATCAAATAAAGTCTTAAATAGTATGAGTTGTAATTCAATAAAACAATAGGAGACTTAAAATTCTCTACCAAATTATAAGTATATAAATAAATGAAATATTCTACTTATACATAATTCGTTTCGCTTCGTTCTTTGAGTCTCACAAGCCCTCCAGTATAAATATTTATGTCAAATAATGATGTTAATACTTATGATGAGGTCCATTTAAAATTACTTATTAACGTCTTGTATCTAAATAACCTTAGTTTGGCAGGATAATTTTATATATAAAGAAAATCGAGTTTATCTCATAAAAGTTATCATGCATTCATTCCAAAATCACACAGTGCACGATTTCATCCTTAAATTAAATGATTAACTCCACAACTCAAAATAACGTACTTATTAAAATCTTATTACGCGGCTTGAGATTTATATAAGTTTCGTAATTGTGAACAAAAAAAGAAGGGCGTTAATTTTTATATTTTATTCAGGGCCTAACAAAAGCCAGGACCGGCTCTGGGGGCGAGTATCGTGTGGTCCTTCATATTGCTAATATCGTCGCCTGAACTGTTGAACATTGAGAGGTACTCTCAATAGTAACAATAGGATCTTATCATCATGAATCTCAATTCGACACATTCGTCGTTCGATCCACCGAGTGTTCCGTCTTCATTGCTTGCAAGCCACTTTGAGAAGCGTCTCGACAGGGGCGGACCCACACAGGGCCCGCAGGGCACTTGCCCCTGTACACTGCTATTATGCAATTTTTATAGAGAGGGAAAAGGGAAAGTTTTATATAATTATTATAGCTGCTATTGTGCTCAGGCTTCCTCATTTCATTAGCCTCTGTAGACTGCTATTGTGCCTCTGCAATTTTTATTAGCCCCAAATAATAATAGCAGCTATTGTGCAATTTTTAGGTCCATCTCTAGAGTGAGATTAATTAGGCTAATGCGAGTTTAGTGGTGAAGGTGTAGGTTAAAATGTTTTTTGGACCGATGCTAATTTTGAATATTCGTCCCATAAATAAAGTGTTCAATTGTAGTTTTGATCCTTAAATTGAAAAAAACATAAATAAATAAAAACCAATTTTGGTCATTTGATCGACTATATGTGGTTACTGAGAAATTACCAAGTTTGTCATTTATCTATACTCAATTAAAATTTTGTTTCATTTCTAGAAAAGAAAAAAGATTTTTAAAGTTCTACTACCAACTACAAAAAATCAATAAAAAAATGAATCTTGATTACGGTCAAGATTATTTTTTAAATTGTAATAACAAATTTAACTCCAGATAACTTTTTACATTTTTTTTAAAAATTTCAGATGTTTTTATTTTTTAACTGTAATTAATAATTTGTAAATTAGCTCTAAAGTACATGCGATTGGTTTTATTATTAACACAATTTTTATCATATTTAATGTTAATAGTTGAATGATAGTTTAATAACTCATAATAATTTAAGTAAAGATGTCAAAGGATACATAATGATATAATTAATGTTATAAAATAGTAAGTTATCCGTAAAAGTTAAATTGTGCCCCTCTCATTCCAAATTTCTGCGTCCGCTCCTGCGTCTCGGTCATCGTACTCATCACCCATACCAATGCTTCGAATCCTCATATTTCGAGTCAGTCTTAGAACTGTGCAATCCTGCCACAACCTGGATGAATTGATTGTGGCATTCTATGTCGCTTCGATTGCCTTTAGGGACAATGGAAAGAATTTGTCTAAAATCCAAAAAAATAAAAAATAAAAAATAAAAAAAATAACAGATTTGCCGCCAAACGAAAGTTCTTCCTTCGATGGATCCACTACTTCCACTAAGGCTCGTAAGGTATTTTCAACCGCCTGAAAGCAATACTTATTTATCATTGGAGCTTCATCCCAAATGATCAAGCGACATCGTATAATCAATTCCGCCAAAGGACCTTGCTGTCTAATTTCATGTTGGGTTTGAACATTTTTAAACAACATAATCGATCGATGTTGTGTATAAAATATAAACAATAGAGTAAGTATTATATATAATAACTTTATTTTATGAATTAATAAAATACAAATATATTAAATAATAAAACTTTTCATTAAGCAAAACGGGGACAATAGACTTCGAATCGCTCAAATCTTAAAACTCTTGAATTTATACATGAATCTATGAAATCCTTCATTAACAACTTCGACCGATTAGGTCTTTTCGTAGAATAAAATCTTCAAGATCAAATCTTTAAAACTCTTGAATTTATACATGAATTTATGAAATCCTTCATTAACAACTTCGGCCGATTAGGTCTTTTCGTAGAATAAAATCTTCAAGTTCAAATCTTTAAAACTCTTGAATTTATACATGAATCTATGAAATCCTTCATTAACAACTTCGACCGATTAGGTCTTTTCGTAGAATAAAATCTTCAAGCAATTTGGAGTAGTTTATACATGAATCTATGAAATCCTTCATTAACAACTTCGACCGATTAGGTCTTTTCGTAGAATAAAATTTTCAAGCTCAAATCTTTAAAACTCTTGAATTTATACATGAATCTATGAAATCCTTCATTAACAACTTCGACCGATTAGGTCTTTTCGTAGAATAAAATCTTCAAGCAATTTGGAGTAGTTTTGAACTCATTCGTGTTGTTAACAATCTTGTACCAAGTAATCTTGTATATACGACCTTCCTCAAGATGAAGCTCGTAATTTTTTTTAATCAAACTTGTCGGGGCGGACGAATGAAAATAGTGGCCCTAAGAATTACAATATAAAAATCATTACACAAAATTAGTTAAAGAACTTATATACAAAAAACAAATTTTATTAAATATTCAAGTACCTCAAATCATAAAATACGAACTACAAACCGGTAACCTTTAGAGGATTTTCATGTGAAGTTTTGGAATAAAGACGGACCTACCTGATCCCGATACTTTTGTCTTTGTTTTCGTTAAAGAAGCACAATTTCTCAAAATTTTGGGTCATTTTGATAAAGAATCCGAATGAAAGTAGAGAGAAAATGAAATAAGAGATTGATATAACTGCTTGTTGATTAGAAAAGTAATAATAAGAGTGATAGTTTGGATAAACATTGATCATCTAGTTATAGCATTACAAAAACTGATAAAAGCAGAAAATTAAATGGCATTAATAACATAAAATCACATAAAATAATTAGATTAATGATATGGTAATTAAAAAATGGTAAATAAAACAATATTTGTAAAAATTCTGAATTTGCTAATGCATGTTAACAATAATAATAATTTAAA